TCAAGAGTGAGAGACATTGAAGAAACACATAAAGCACAAGGCTTCAAAGATTTCTTAATTAACATGTTTTTCATTAACTGATCGCATGTAATTTGGGACTGGTGACCTTTATCCCTACATTAGAGTCAACCAGCTGCAGACTTAAAACATCTGGTATCCCATAATCCAGTTCAAAAGTAAAGTAATGGTTGGACAGCACTCCAGATATCCCCTTCCGGGGCTCCCTGCACCATCACTTAGAAAGGCTTACCATTAGCTGCATTTTTAGTCCATTCTTTTTTCGGAAGGAGATGTAAAAAACCAGAGTAGTTCTTCAGTTTTCTCATTCTCTTCTTTTAGCTCTTTTCTATGTTATCCTCTCTATAAGCAACCAGTGATGGCTAAAGAGGCAATGACCAATCTGTGAGTGTGTGCTGACATCTGCTCTTTGCTGCTATTCAGCTGGACTGAGTACAGGCAAAGTCTGTACATAGGATCTAGGGCAGGAACAGGGCAATAGACCCACTGCTCAGTCATGCCATGCCACCATGACTGAGAGAGGGCTGCATTCTGGTGTATGTCTGCTCCTTTGTAGTAGCTCATGCAGCAGGGGCAAGGTCAGGAAGTGTCTGGAGGAGGTGATGCTCCCTCTGTGACATGGCTCTTTAGGCCACCCAGGGCTTTGTGACACTCCCTAAAAGCCTAGTGCTTGTTAGACATGTCCTGCTCAAACAAGCATCAATTTCCTGTTTTCCTTGCTCCATGAGGAGTCTGAGGATAGTGCAAATAAAGCACTCAGTGGCTCACCAAAAGGTTGGACGTGAAAGTTCATCAAGAGCCACTTTAGAAGTGAGGCTTAGCTTACTACAAAGACGTCAGTCACTGAAAACTTGATGGAGCATGTTTGTCCTGTGACACACATGAGGTTGCCATGGGTTGGAACAGAGTTCACGGAAACTGGTTTTTTAACATGTTGATACAGACATCTATTTACTCCTTTGGTCAATGATATGGGAAATGGAGTCAGAATCAATACAATAGCTGACCCTCCAGCAGGTTTTCAGAAGCTGCAAATCGCATGTTTGAGACTGTCTCTCTTTCTCCTTCAGAGGAGCTGGTGGATTCAAACCATTTGCCTTTGGGTTGGAAGAAAAGCTCTATACCCACTAGGCTACCAGAGCCCCTTGTTCAATGATATGAGAGATTTTAAGATTTATAGGGCATGTTCTCATCCTCTGGTACTAGAACTACCGGTAAGAATTTTTGTTAGCTTGCTTTATGTTTGAAGCTTCTGGCTTAAATTCACCACCAATATAGCAAAGGTCCTCTTTCATTATAGATGGGGTTTTAGCCATGATTCACCATCCATACAAATGGCCTGGTTGCTATAGAAACATTATTAGAAAGGGGGCAGCAAATGGTGCCACAGAATAAAGACATAAATAAAGTGGTGGAAATAAACCTTGGTATAGAAGAGTGGCAATAAAATGTTTGCTATTGTTATTTGAAAAAATCTTTTATATCTGTAGTGACCACACTAAGCTTTTGTTTTCACTCTCTGGGAAGAGTGGGGGGGGGGTGCGGAAAACACCTCATCTTTACATTATGAATTTAAAATACTGTTACTGGCTTTTCAGGTCTTTTGGAAGTGGGGATAAAAGTTCACATTTAGAACATTATTGCTGTACTCTTTGTTTAAAATATTAAAAGGTATGTCCCCTTGAGACACATTTGTAAGCATTCTGTCAGTGACATCCTCCTGGGTAGTGTCTGGAGCAAACAGACGCATAATTAGGAATTTCATGATCGAGCCTTCCCTTTACCCTTCCACTATGGCGGAGAATAGCATGTGGGTTCAAGAGAAGATTTACGAGTTGGGTATGAGTATCAGTGACAGTTTGGCCTCAGCTTTGTCACCTACTATAAAAATCAAGATGTGTAAATATCAACCTGAGATAGTCAAACATATTAGTATTCATTTATACTCACTAATGGCCTTAATCAGCGGAGTAAGCCTTACCTTACACAAAGACATGCTTAGCCTTGGAAACAGCAGTACAAACACTGACGAATTAATTTTAATTTCACTTCCTTAGTAAGGGGTGCGAGTCTGTTTCTATCACTTATGAACTGCACATGAAGCCATTTTCATGTAAAAATATCACAAACACTTATCACAAGACCAGATGGCATTATCTGGAAAACTCAGGAACAATATATTGTGCTATAGTGGAACTATTGTGAAAAGGTCTAAATCTGAGAGTAACATCAACAGATTTTTATATATGACAATTCAGATAAAGGCATAATAAAAGCTAACATACTTACAAATTAGCTAACAGTTACAGCTCAGTATTTACCAAGAGTTGTTTTGTGCATATATATTAATTATGCTCTCCCTGATTTTCCCATGGGGTTAACTATTATATTTATATATAATTTATTTTATATATATATTTCTTTTAAGATAAGTCAAAGGGCTGAAGAAACTTGGCCAGGTTCTTTAGCTAGAAGGTCATGACGCTTAGATGAGAACTCAGCCTGGTTTCAGAGTGGCTGTTTATAAATAGTTCACATCAAAACTTTAACTAGTAAGAAGAATTTACTCCAATGTTACCTAAACAATAAGCGACTCCGGAAACATTTTGCCCTCATTTTGACTCAACATTCTTTCCATTTTCTGAGTTTCAAATTTGTTCTGATTGCATGCCACTGACTCAGAAGTGCTTCACAGCTGACCCTCCAGCAGGATTTTAGAGGCTGCACGTTGCACATGAGTAGGCTGCCCATCTTTTCTACTTGGAGCAGCCAAGGGATCTGAAACACCTGCCTTTAGGTTGCTAGCACAACTCCTCACTATTAGGCTAAAAGAATTCCCATTTGCAAATTAACTGCTATCTAAATATATTAAAGGCTATGTACCTTAAAATTGAAGGGTCATGCAAGGCAAATTCATCCCACAGTGGTTCCCATCTTTTTTTTCTTCTTTTTTTACTATTATTAATTTTAATGAAAGTTTACAGAGATTTTGGATTTCCATTCGTTCATTGTTACACTTTTCTTCCTGCCCACCCCTACCGCCCCATTCGCTCTTCTCTTTGAAAAGTAAAAGAAAAATTCTTTCATTGTTATACAATCCCCCCCACACCCAAATCCACTCCACTATGCTACCTTCATTCCACCTTTGCAAGAAAATCTCGGCTTACATGAAACATAAAGATTCCATTTCCTGGGGTGAGGTTTAGGTGGCTGCCTACATTGACAGTAACATTGGTGGGATTGGGGAGAGGCTCTCATGGAAATAAGAATCTTTCACATACAAGCTTAAGAGCCAGCAAGTTTAGCCACTCTTTCTCCCAAGCACAGACTCTCTTTGCCATTGTTTTTGTTATGTGCCATTGAGTCACTTGCAACTCATAGTGACCCTATGTACAATAGCCTTGAAACCTCTATCTTGAGCCAACTTCATTGTCTCTGAATCACCTACTCCCATTATCCCAATCACTAAGTCAATGATCTCATTCACGGTCTTCCTCTCCTGTGCTGTCCCTCCACCCTTCCAAGCATGATGCCCTTCTTCAAGGACTGGTTCCTCCTTGTAATATGCCCAAAGTATGTTAGATGCAGATTCAAAATCCTTGCCTCCAAGGAGTAGCTTAGTCTCACCCTCTCCATAATAAACCTGTTTGTTCTCCTAGCAGTCCATGGTTTATTTAAAACTCTTCTCCATCACAATTCAAAGACATTGATTCTTCTTCTATCATTCTTAGTCACTGTCCAGCTCACTGATGCATAGCAAGTAAATGCAAAGACCAGGACCTAGAGTAGGCATGCCTTAATCTCTATATTGACATCATTGTTCTTTAGTACTGTGGAGAGATCCCTGACATCAGATTTTCCCAATGCAATTAGTCTTTTGATTTCCTGACTGCTGGTACCAAGCATGCTGATTTTGGAACCAAGCAAGCTAAGGCTGTTAACAATTGCAATCTCTTCACCTTCTATCATGATGCTGCCAATTGGCTCAATAGTGAGAATCTTTGGGGTTGTTGTTTGTTTTTTTTTGTTTTGTTTTGTTTTTTATGTTCAGCTTCTATCCACATTGAAGTCTCAGGTCCTCCTCAGTTTCGGCAAGCAAGGTGTGACATCTGCATAACACAGGTTGTTGGTAAGTCTTTCTCCAATCCTGATGCTACATTCCTCCTCATAGAGCCCAGTCTCCTAGATGATCTGTTCCACATATACTTAGAAAAGGCTTGGAGATAGGATGCAGTTGTGGTGTACACCTTTTCTGTTTTTGAACTACGCAGCATTTCCTTGCTTTGTCCAAGTATACCAGCCTAAAAGTAACTAAGTTACACTTTATTTAACTTAAGGATATTAATTATTTTTATTGTTCTGATAAACACAGTAAGAGGTAGTAAACTTATTTTACATTCCACTCTACTCCCCGCCCCCACCCCCGCTCCGGTCATCATAACTGTAATTAGCCAAAAGGTCATAAGGGATAAGAAAAGTTATATCTCTGAAGAGTTGAACCGACAACTTAAAGACGTGAGGTCTGAATTCAGCAGCTGCTCCACAGAAGATGGGCAATCTCACCCTGTACCATGTACAGCTTCTGAAACCCCACTGAAGGGGGTCAGCTATGAGTCACTTCTGACCTGAAGGGACATAACAATGAAAATAGTTGGAAATTTAGATACTGTCTTACTCCTTCCCAAGTATGAATGAAGGAGAGGAAGACCCTCAACCGAGTGGATTGACATGGTGACTGCAGCAATGGGGTCTAATGTGTCAGAAAGTGTAGAGATGGCACAGGATAGGACAGGGTTAAGATCTGTTGTTCATAGGGTTGCCATGAATTCTTTCAACTTGTTGGCACCTCACATAACAAGCACCCAAAGACCTGATTATTTAGTCATTATAAAACACACCTTCCTTTGCTTTCAATATTTCACAATTTCAAAGCTCACACATTTTTTTCCAAACCAAATGACACTAGCTAACATTCCACTTACACGAGCTTTTGAAGTCTTTCTTTTTCAGTCTCCGCCTCATCATGGTTCCTCGTGGGCTAGTAGAGTAGAGGCTTCGAGGTAAAGTCCCCATATTCAGGGAACTCAGGCTGTATGCACTCATGGAGGTAGGAGAGAAGGATGAAGACACCAAAGCTGCTGTAAGAGAGCAAAAACTTGGCACAGAGCATTTTCACGTGGGTGGAAGCCAACCAGTCACAATGCAGAGACATACATAAGATGCACAGCAATGGTTAGTAAGCCCCTCACAGACACATAGCAGGCTCAGGAACCAGAGAGACAACATTTTTGAATCTCAGAGTTAAAAGAACAAGTGTCAGCATCCTCATGACAACAGTGGAACACAGAGGAGTTCCATGAATTTTGCTTTAGACAAAACCCAAACATTAAAACAAGCATCTCAACAACCAACTCAAAGCATCAGAAACATAATCTTATTTTCTGACATGAATGGCATAAATGAATCTCCATACATAAACAAAAGCTGAGAACATTATATCCTATATTATTATCTCTTGATCACATAGAAAGCATTCTAAACATTCATAGCCTTTTCTAATAACAAATGTTCTCTGATGAAAAAGAAAAAAATGAAGAGATGCCAGAAATGATACTTTGCTATTTCATGAAAATCAAATAGCATGCACAAAAGCTAAAGATGAAACCAGCTAGATGAGGAAGGAATGAGAAGAATAGAATTGAAATAAAAGACCAGGAGGAGAAAGCCTGGAACATTACGAGGGCTGTTTGGAGGAGGCGCTCTTGGGAATGTCAGGGCTGGCACTCTGCAATGGTCAGGGTGATAGGTGTTATAGTGATGGTAGGTGTGGAGGCTGTTGTGGTTGCTTGCCCAGGAATCCCAGGTAAGTTGCCTGTCGCTCCTCTGAATTTTCACTGCCCACATGAAGTGATGATGAGAAAACAAAAACAAAACAAAAAGAACCAAAAAAAAAAAGAGGAAAAAGTAACTGAATTGCACAAATAAAAGGTGTAGCAAAATGAAAGCTGCTTGCAAAGAAAATAAAAAAAACCCCTCTACTTGGCTTTGCTTTTTCTCAGTGGTCAGCAAAACATGATTAACATCAGGGATGGGAACATTTCATCTTTCCTAGAATAATGCATGTCTACCCGTGCCCATTTCTTTTTCCCTTTTAAGATGAGTATTGAATCAATTTCTAATCTTCCTCCCAGTGCCTCACAGCAGATATTAAAAACATTTTAAAAAAAAAACACAAAACTTAGAAGCCCACCCCATAAAGATCTGTAACACATGACTAGTAATTAAAGATTTGAGAATGGGGGCTGGTTAGAAACACTTGTCTAGAGATAAAAAAAAAGGCAATAAATCACGTGAGCCCATGAATCAAGTGGTTTACTAGTCACACACCACAATTTATTGCTCTGACATTTTAATTATATGACAATCCATCACTTGCATTTCATTTTCCTTGAAAAAAGACCACTCTAATAATCTATCATTGTAAGAATCTCATCTTATCCTGACTAATAGGGAAAAAAGTTGCAATTATTATACAAATACAGTATTTTTTTTTTAAAAAAAAACCTTTAAGGTTGAAATTAATGTCTAGTTTGGAAAACATTTCATGTTTCTTAAAGAAGCCATTAAGTTTTATTGAAAAATCTTAATGACCCCTCTATCTTTAAGCAAATGGTGATTAAGTAAACTTTCATTCTGTGTTAATTGTTGTTAAGATGTGATTTACTTTCTCTGCACTACTATGAACCAACATGCCATCTGATAATGTTTGTTATTATATAAAGGATATTTTTAATAATAGTAAAAGAGTTAAAAATAACACACAGACTCACATCTTCTTGTGCTTTCCTGATTTTAAAATTAGCTGTCTTACATGTGAATTATGAAAGGGCTGGTATTCACTGTGGAAGGCTGAACACCATACTTGTGTTAAAGCAGGGTCATTTAGATAAGAGCTTAAGTCATAAAACATCTGTGATACTGGCTCACTGTCCACTTGACTTCCTTTCTGGGCTGAGACCCAGAACAACATGGAACTTCAGCACTACCGGGTCGGGTCACTGGGGTGAGGTGGACTTGGTTTTCAGTTTCGCCTCCATCCCTTCCTGTCTGTCTCTCTAGAACTCAGTTTCCTCATCTGTGAAGTGTAGATCACGAAGGACTGCTGTGAGGGTTGAGTGAGGTGATGCATGCCAGGTGCTCAGCACGGTACAAAAGACATATCAGCGATTCGTAATAACACCGATTATGCCTGCTTTTCTCCCTATTGGCCAACAAAGTTTCTTTTAAAGAGAACAGATGTATTTCTCACTTAATAAATCCCACTTATTAGACCTTAAAATTCTACAAAAATATTCTAAAAAGCCATAATGTAGAAGAACTATTTAAGAGCCACCATACCTTTGTAATCCTATAGGATAGTTCTGCTCTGTCTTACAGGGTCACTATGAATCAGAATCAACCCACAGACACAATGCAGTATCTATACTCTTTATGGGTGATCACCAGGTCTTTCTCATATGGAGTCACTAGGTGGCTTAGAACCACCAACCAAGTGCTTAACTGTTGGGTCATTAAGACTCCTCCAAGTGTCTTGCTACAATTAATTAAATTGTATGGTTAAAAGCACACAATTTGAAAAATAATGCTTTTCAAACCATTTTGTGGTGATATCACTGTAGAAGTGTTAAATATGACATGACACAGAAAGTACATTTCTGTGTTCTGCTGAACTTGCCCTGCAGGAGTTATCTGACAATGGCAGCTCCCGGATCTCACAACGTGGGAGTGACTCCTGATATTGTGTATATCAAACCTAGGAACTCTAGTCACATTTTCTTTTCCAAAATCCGTTTCCAGAATGGAAACAATTTCTAAACTAAATGATAATCTGCTATGTTGGTGCTGATATTTACAAGCAAAATACATAGTGGATCTCCTAATCTTTTGATAAGCCCACTTAAAAAGAATTACATTTTCTAGAAAACACTGGAGTGGATGTCCTGCTGCCAAACAAAATTTGAGAAATATAGTATCTCTGTCCACCTATGGGTTTAGAAACACACTATTCAGATAGCAGAGAATTGGAGAAAAACCCTAGAACTTTATTGTGGAAAAGGTTAATGTTGTATAGCAATTTTCTTACAAGAAACCTCAGAATTATAAACAGTATGAAAATGTTGTTCTCTTGGTACATTTGATTTATTCATGTTTAGGTGCCAGTACTTATTAACTTGGAAATACAAGTCTAATTTTCTCTCTGTAGAAATGTAGGGGGAGAAACTATATGGTAGGTAAGGAAGATTATGAACAACTACCAGCATAAGTGGGAGATGAGGTCAAGTGTAAGCTAGAATGACTTAAACCATCAGCTCCCACTACCACTGCCATCAGGTTTTCCACAGTGAAAAAAACCCTATGTCCTTGGTTCACACATTTTCATATATAAATTCATCTCTTCAAATTGCATTGGCCAGTAAACGAATTCACTATTGGAAACAATTTCAACTATTTCAGATTTGGATAGAGTGTAAATACAAGAAAAAGGAAAAAGAAATGAGTTTTTATGAAGCAATCACATTTCAAACAGTATGCTACGCATTTCTGATTCACTGATAACAGAATTTTTGGACTTTAATTCCATGCAGAAAAGAGCACTGCACAGTGTGCATTTCCTATACTGACTGTGCTCCGAAACCAGTGTTGATTTTGGATTAATTTAGGGCACACTTACAGTTTTAGAAATGTCTGCTCTAGCCAGTATTCGGGAAAGAGCCCCGGAGCCTCCTGACAGGATGAAGTGCCTTCCCACCAACTGCAGCCTCCCAAACTGCTCCTTATCGTCTCTATTCAAAGGATGCGGACTTTCTTTTCATAACCTGCCTAGGCTGCATCATTTCTCTACTCCAATGTGTAAAATTAAAATCTGATAAGAGTGCTGCTATATTAGAGATTTTCATTAGCTTCAGGGCTAAGCTCCACTTAATTAAAAAGGTTGCATCCAGCTGACTCATTCAGTATGGAAATCATATGGTCCCTCTTTTCTTTCAAACTGTGAAGAGCTGTAGGTTTTAATAGGTGGAAGACAAAATACAAAATGGCCACTTCAGAAGGAAAATTCTGTATCCAGCGAAAATGACTCTCTCTAAATAAGGATAAATTAATCGTCCTCAATTGGACCACCTTTATAGCACTAGTGAGGCCTTTGGTTTCAAAGAAATGGAACAAAGAAAAAGAATAAAAGAGGTGCATACTTGATTTAATTGAAAGGAAGGAAAAGGAGTTGCAACAAAAACCCCACTAGGGAGTCTTTCTTCATTTGATTTTAGGTTTAAATGAAAATGCACCAGGTTCTGTTTTAAGGATGCTCCAGGTGGAGAGTATATAAATACTCAGGAAACATATAGATGAGTTGTGAAGAGGTCAAAATGCAGATTCTCTTAGTTTATACTTTTTATTAAATAAATATTATCAAATATCCTGACTCTCCTAAGCAAGATGTTCAGTTGGAATGGTGTCTTTTCTTCATGACCCATCCATTTCCACAAGTATTCTGACAAGTTGACAGAATTTATAGAAATTCCACCCTATGTAAAATGGTTTTAGTTTTCAATTTCAAGGTCTGCTTTTACAATCAACTGCATAACAGTACTTGAAATATAAGTGAATTGTACTATTTGCCTTCATTATACTTCATGTAAAGTAAAAAGTCATGTATAGTCATACAGGAATAAAATTATTTCTCCTTGTTCCATAGTCAATTTTTATCAAAGGCTTTTTCCTCTTTCTTTCTTTCATTTAATATTAAGTCATAGTAGTCAAGGAAGTTTTTTCCCCCAAAATATTTCCCCATCTTTTCAAAACAATGTCTTTCCTTAAATAAATTCTCTATAACTTGGGAAAGGGCATTTAGAAGAGAAAACAAAGATAATGTGTAATTCTGAGGAGAAATGAGAAAAGCAGTGATAAACTCAGAGCCTTTCTGCTTTGTAACTTTGCTAACATAAACAATAAGTGTGAGGGGAAAATAAAGAGATTTATCCAGACAGGTTTTCTCACCGTGTTCAGGTCCCTTCAGGGCCAGGCGGGTTTGATGATGGGGGAGAATCTCAAGTTTGACCTGGTCAGTGGTGTTAGCCAGGAACTGGGTTGCTTCTGCTAATGTGCAGTATTCCATGCTGGTTCCATCAATAGACAGGATGTGATCCCCCACGTGCAGCGCCCCACATCTACAGAAAGGAAGAACACTTAAAGTGTTACACTGTTATAATTATAGTGAATTAAGTTTATCTTTCAATATGGCTTTCCCAGCATTATTACAATGGGGCGTATTGGCTAATCTACAAAGGGACGACTGGCTTATCTACCATTCCGTAGCCTCCTGGTAAAATGCTGCACTGCAATCCTGAAGGCGTGCAGTTCAAAGTCATCAGCTGCTCCACAGGAGAAGGATGGACAAACTCCTCCCATCTGATACACTGCCTCTAAAAACTGCCAGAAGTTAGTTATGGGTCGGTTTCCGACTCGACAATTCACAACAACAACAGCTGCGGAGAAGAAATTCTTCCCCAAGCCAGAGAAGAGATACCTCTCCCAACCTCTGGAAGGCAGAGCAGCCATGGCTGAACTAGAGAACTGGCATGAGATGAAATGAGACCTTACATGTGGGGGGAGCTAATACTGGAAGGACTGAAAACTTTGGAAAATTGTGGGTGGGGAGCCAATATTTACAGGACTGAGAACTTGGGAACTCTTGAAGCTATGAGGCTTGAAGCTGGAGTGCCTGTGTATACATTTTGGGAGCTGTCCTGACTGTATTCTGTTATTAGTCTGGATTATAAAGCTTTTACTGGTTCTGTGTGGTCTGTGGGATATCATATCAAAACTGGGACCCATCAAAGCAGTAAGATTGTTGTTGTTGTTGTTGAGAAGCGTAGACAGAAATGTCTAACTTCACAGGATTTGGTTTAGTGTTATTGATGCTATGGATGGGACAGCTCCACCCATTTGAAGTTAGTAAAGGTCAGATAAGTGGTCCTCATGTGGCCCTTGTTCTTTTTTACAGAGTGTTAAATTACTTTTTGTTTTAAAAAGGGAAAAGCTTGAGGGTTACAGGAAGCATCATCTGTCAAATTTTAAGCATCGTACATATGAACAGGAATATAAGACCCTGTAGAAAAGGCATAACAATTAAATAAATTTTTTTCTCATTTTTAAAGAAAAACATTAGCTCATGTTGAAACAAACTTATTACCATCAGGTTGAAACTGACCCTCTAATAAGTGTCTTGGGTTTGTAGATCAAATAGGAGGAGATTGCCTGTCTTTCTCTTATAGAGTAGCTGGTGGATTTGAACCACAGGAGAGGTTCAGCCTTTGAGTCAGCATTATAAGCTCTATAGACTAGGCCACCAGAACTCTTAGCTTGGGTTAATGGTGTTGCAAGCTGAAGGGAAGTGAATAGGAGATAACTAAATAACAAGAAAAAAAAATTTCTCCTGGACTTTTTCTGTGTTTTATGTTTTTCTATCTATATGAATTGGTAAATATTCAAAATCTCAAGACATGACTCAGAATTGGGACAGGGCCATTTACAACTATGTGTTTGTGATGATTGGGGGAAATTCAGCTAATAATTCCTCAAAATCCTGTCACACAAGCTCCCAGGTCACTAGTTCTTTATCTCTCTGTTTGACTTTGGAGGTAAGTCCTAATGAGTACAAAGCTCTCAATGGTGACTGAAATGAAACAGAACTTTCATGAATGGGGCAGGGGACTAGAAGCCACAGCTTGCCAGACTAAAAAACTAGTTACTGAATGAATTGTGAAAAGCAAACACAACAGTTAGCATTCTAATATATCAGTCAACTGGTCAGCTCTTTAACTTAGTTACTCTCTATTGAATGTTAAGGGGAATAAACTCCCCCAAAGGAACCACCAAAAAAGGGAGAAAATGAAAACATCTGTACCACAGAGATGGAGAACATCTCTGGGTCAATGACTGTGACCACAATGGAACTTCAGAAGGACAGAGATTATTGTAAATCACTACTTTCTGGTGGGTGGTTTACCAAGGAAGAGTGAGGGCATATGCAGAGGCAGTCTGGAGACTGGTCAGGAACACTGCCCATTTGGGTATGTATAAAAATATACACAATCTTAATAATCTACTTCTTCAGACAAAAACACCTAAAGTCCTCCTTTCCATCTAAAAAGATCAGTTCATGCTGATGCTTTTAGAGCCCTTCTGCTATGGGAGGTGAGGATTTTTTTTCAGAGACGATAAAAAGAAATGATTATGCAAATGCACTACGATCAAGTAGATTCCAGCTCCTGAGACCTTCCACTGGTTTTCTGAGGCTGGAAATCTTTATGAGAAGCGATCTTTCTCCCTGGGAGCAACTGGTGGATTTGAACCGTTCAGTTAACAATGTGATACAGTTCTCACTATTCCACCAAGGCTCCACTAAAGCCAAGATAGGAAGTTAGTATTTTTTAACTCCTTCTAATTTCATAAACAACATATATTAACTGTTGTTGTTAGATGCTACTGAGTTGAGTCGCATAGTGACCCAATGAATCCTGTCCTATCCTATGCCATTCTCATACTTTCTATCACACTTGACTCCATTGCTGCAGTCACTGTGTCAATCGATCTGGTTGAGGTTCTTCCTTTCTTTGACTGACCTCCTACTTTTCCAAGAATGATGTCTCTCTCCAATAAATAGCCTCTTCTAATAAGATGCCCAAAATATGTGAGATGAAGCTTTGTCATCTTTGCCTTCCAGAAGCAGTCTGGCTGTGCTTTCTCTAAGACATAACTGTTTGTTCTTATGGCAGTCCACTGTTTACTCAGTACTCTTCTCCAAAACCACAGCTCAAAGGAATTAATTTTTCTTTTGTCATCTTTATTAATTGTCTATGTCTCAGATGCATAATAAGTGATAGAACAGATCATAACCTGAATCAGGCACACCTTAGTCTTAAAAATGAAATCACTGCTCTTAAGTAATTTAGAGAAGTCCGTGACAGCAGACTTTCCCAATGAAATACATGTCCTGATCTTCTGACTTCTGATATCAAGGGTATTGAATGGCTCCAAGGAAGATGAAGTCATGGACAATTTCTATTTATTTTTCCTATCTATCATGATGTCTCCAAATCATAGCTCCTGCTTGCTGCACAGTATTCTATCACATGACTGTACCATAAATTCAGTCCATTCATTTGTTGTTGGATATCTGGACAGTTTCCATGTTCTTGTGATTGTGAATAATGCTGCTGTGAACATTGGTGAACAAATCTCTGTGTTTCAGTTCTGATTTCCTTGGGCTGTATTCCTAGTAGTGAAACAGCTGGGTCACATGGAATTTCTGTGTTCGACTTTTTGAGGAAATGCCAAACTGCCTTCCAGAGTAGCTGTACGATTTTACAGTTCCACCAATTCCACAATACATGAGAGCTCCAGTCTCTCCACATCCTCTCCAACATTTATTGCTTGCTATCTGTGGCCCTCAGGCCTGGTTTTAATTGGTTTTGGTCAAACATTATTCTATGTGGTATAGCACTAGTCTGTCCATTTGTTGTACAGAGGTAACTTGTGGTTGCGGTGATACTAAACACTGTGACACTGATGTGTCAAATGTGATAACAGTTACTCATGGTGGACAGTGTTTGGTGGAGCTTTCCAATTAAAACAAGCTTGGGAGCAGGAGTGGCATCCACTTCCAAAATAGCTTGTCTCCAGAAATTCCATGAACATGAAGAAATGATGAAAGTTATACAAGTGTTCAGGTCTTCCGTTTATAGGGTAGCTATAAATAGTCTATGACTTGAAAGCACTTAACAACAACAACAATCATGATTTCTATTGGTCCAGTGGTGAAAATTTTTTTCTTGATGTTGCAATGTAATCCATATTGAAGGCTGTAGTCTTATTTTCTGCATCAAGAGCTTCAAGTTTTCTTCAAATTCAGCAAGCAAGGTTGTGTCATTTGCATAATAAATGTTGTTGATGAGTTTTCCTCAGAGCCTGATGCCACATTCTTCTTTATAGAGTTTAGCTTCACCAATGATTTGCTCGGCATACAGATTGACTAGGAATGGCATAAGGCTACAACCCCGATGCATGCCTTTCTTAATTTTAAACCATGTAGTGTTTGCTTGCTCTATTTACACAACAATCTTTTGGTTAGGGAAGAATTTCTTATGTGCACAATTAAAAGTTCTGGGATTCCCATTCTTCTCAATGTTAGGTATAATTTTTTATGATCCTCATAGTCAAATGCTTTTGTATAGTAAATAAAGCACAGACAGACATTCTTCTTTGCTTTCAGCCAGGATCCATCTGACATCTGACAATGATACCCCTGGTGCTGTGGCCTCTTCTAAACCCAGCCTGAATTTCTAGCAGTTCTCTGTCAGTGTACGTTCTAGATGGTTTTGGAAGATCGTCAGCAGTATTTTGCTTGCATGTGATACTTATGACACTGTTCTATTTCTTCCACATTCTGTGGATTTCTTGGGAATTTTTCCTAAGTCAAAATTATTAACTAGGAGAAACTATTTCAAGAAAAACTGTTTGGTGCTTTTTTTTTTCTTAATTGTGAATGATGTTTAAAGAATCCCTGAAAGATTATGCAGTCCTAAGATAAATATAGAGCACTCTGGTGGCTTAGTGGTAAGGAGTTTGCTGCCAACCGAAAGACACATAGTTTGAATCCACTACTTCCTCCATAAGAGATGGGTGACCTCCTCTTGAGTGATTAAACTGCTTCTGAATTCCCACTGGAAAGTCAGACATCAGCCAGTTCCAATCTGACAGTACACAACACAAAGATAACTATACAATGGTAACATAGGACCTTATTGTAAAGATTCAATATTTTAAAACATATGTACTTAAAAATAAAAGAATACAGTTCTATGGTGGCAGAATTAAACATAACAAGGGAAATTGAGACTTCCTCAAAGGAAGTATAATAAAGATAAGCTTAGACCCAAGATCAAGAAAGGTTTTCATCACAGTAAAATCTGTTTGGCTTCTTGACTTTATATGACTTTTTTTTATTCCATTACTAAAGGGCACACCAAACAGTTAAAATAAATGAGGTAACATTTATATTATAGGGTAGCTGATCAAACACAATGCTGTGAAGGTGGAAGTGATTCATAGCTGACCCATGTGCTACATATATTATACTCAGGTTTTATAAACACAAGCAGTTTTGAAAAGTAGGCACTTTCTACAACACTCACCTGTCAGCAATGCTTGCAGATTTTATTTTGTCTATGACAATGACTTGTTTGTTACAGCACATCGAGGTAGTTAGGGCAACCCCAAGGCTGGCACCAGGAGTTTTGGCAACTTCAACTAATAGTGGTCCAGATGCTGTTGCCACAGAATCTGGCAAAGGGGAAAAAAATTCACAAATCAGCAAACAGAAACAAGAAAAATGTTATGCTAGCTCACTAGTTATTGTATCACTAAAACAGATTCCCTTCCAAATAACATTCTCACAGTCAATGGTAACCTCTTAGGGCACCATATGATACCCTCAGAGTCAATGGACACCTGGTCCATTCCAGGTTATCATAATAGGTGTACAAGTTTCTCCCCTCAATTATTCCAGCCTTATGCCAGCTGGAATAATATAGTAGACATCTCTGTAACCTCCATAATGCCTGGGACAGTCTTTTCATATATTAGTTATCAATAAACATTTAACAAAATCAATTAATTCAATAAATATCTTAGAGATTACTATCTAAGGATGAATGATAGGTAGATGGATGAAAGATGTCTCTAATTAGAGAAATGGTAGGATAGGGCACACTAAATTCAATATGTAAGCCCCTGGGGTTACAAATTCTGTACCTGATTTAGAGTCTAAAAATGTGGCAGAAGGATAAGCAGTCTCCCTCCACGCAATTAATTGCAACTGAATATGAATCGGTTCCAATTTCATGGAACATGCTTCATGTGGGACTAGACCACTCTATGTTGTTTCAGCTCCTACTCACTCTCTGGAACTCTGTAACCATCAATACTTCTAGTAATCCTTTTCTTCCTCACAATCTAATGCGATGCATTTCTCCTGCACCCTTATAGTCTACTGCATTCCTACTGCAGAATGTACCACACTGTTTCATCATGGCTAGTTAACATTTCATGTCTGTGTCCCCGGTCTGACTCTAAACTTGCGATGAAGTCAGAGACTGTCTTGTTGCTCACAGCATCTTCAGGGCCTGACATGATGACTAGCCTATCAGAGGTGTGTGATAAAAGCGTCGAAGAGTGTGAATGAATGGAAAAACTCATGACATTGTTTAGAATGCAGATAAGGCAGAGGCTAAAAGAGAAGGAATTCTGGGCATGATATTTTTAAAAAACCAAACCCAACAAAATCCACAAAACAAAGGCATTATAGTTGGGTCATAACTGACTCATAGCTGACCCTTCACTGGCTTCCAAGCCTGTAAATTACACAAGAAGAGACTGTCTTTCTCCCTCAGAGCTGCTGGTGGATTCGCACCACCAGAGATGCATGGGCTTTGGCTTAACAGCACAAGTTCCTGCAGACTGCACCACCAGCAATCAGGCCACCAGATGGGCTTGCAGCTTTCGCTGCCTCAGCCTGGCTTTCCTTGACCTATGGAGTGCTTGAGCACCTCTGGAATAAATGCCCAAAGGTGGGAATGGGTCTCCTTGCCCATAGAGATTGGGATTCTGTCAATGCTGAGAGGTGGCAGTTTGAAGCAAAGGGGCGTGCTCTACCAGGGCCAACTCCAGGTCTTCCAGAATCATGTTCTTGTACTTATGCACTATGTTCTCCAAAGGTGCTGTGCCAAACACTTCCAAGACTGGATTCAGTTTAGAGAGAAAGACACAGTGAACAATAGCTTGCCGTTCCACTCAAGTAATATAAACATCTAACGTGGCTCGGAGCTTATGAAGCAAGCGTGTCTCTTCTGGATAGACAGATTACACTCAAACATGTAAGACTGCTTTTCTTTCCTGTTGCCACAACAGCCTGCAGCAGTTAGGTGGGCTTTCACATCAGCAGCAGCTGTGGAGCTGAGAATGTCTGAATCATAAGAAGTGTCTTCAGTGGAAGAAGGGGCGCCTTCATGAGCACTCAGCACGTTCAGTGTAAGTGGCCACATGGACCTGCAGTACTTGCTGGGCCACACAGCATGGGCTTGTATGACAGCCATGTGTTCAGTCTGGGTCACTGTGCATTCCTCCATGAAGCTCTACTCAGAACGCAGCTGAATCACCATGGGTCTGTGCAGTGGGGACTGCGACCAAGTCAGATCTTCACAGCTTTGTGCCACCAGTGGCAATCACTGTCCAACATTCAGATGCACAACAAGCAATTGAGAAGACCATGTTTGGATCAGGTATACCTTAGTCTTTAAATGAGTGTCACTGCTCCTTAGCACTTTGGAGAGGTTCTTGACAGCAGAATTTCCCAAATACAATGCATCTTTTGAGGTTTGGACTGATGGTACCAAGGGTGTTGATTTGGATTCAAGTAAGATGTAATCATTGACAAATCCTGTCTTTTCTCCATTTGTCATGATTCTCTCTATTGGCCCAAAGATGATTTTTTTTTGTTTTTAATATTGAGATATAATCATCCTTATTGAAAGATGCAGTCTGATCTGCTTTGGTCCTAGGGTAAGTGGCTATAATTTTTCCAAGAGCTTAACTCTATGGTTAAGCATTCCTGGGTTAATTCCTCTCATCTCCTGATGCTACACTAAGCTACTAACAATGTCTGAACATATTTTCTTCCCTCCCTTTCAGTTGCTATTTGCTTCCCTTCAGTTTTTCACATGATAATGATATATCGCCCACATCCCACCTAACTCTCACCCGTGTAGTCCTATAGCCATATGCACCAATGGCAGGCACCTCCCTCAATGGGATTCCTTGTTAAAGAATTCTGACCAGTCCCTGCACCTCATTTAGTTGTTCTTAACATCACTAGGATGTTCTAGTGTCCTGTCAGTGCTAACAGTAAAAGATCTGCTGCTGAGCTCATCACATAATCTGCTGTCTCTAGTTTCACCCTCCTTTTTCTTTGAACACAATTCTTAAGAACATTATTTTCTAGTTCAGGTTGGACCTTACATGAGCTCTGGTCCACCAGACCTTTTCTTGTATTATTTTTATAGACCTTTAGTATAAAATAATGTGAAGGCAGCATCTGACCTCCTCTAACCTCAGTGGAGGGGAAAGAAAATTATTACCTGCTTCATCAGCCTAACCACAGACTCATATGAGGAAGAACTCAGACATGCCCACATCCTCCCAATTTTTTACCAATTCTGATACCAGCTGTCCTTCCCATAGCACTGCTACTTCTCTACTGGATTAGATGATTCATTATAGTGGACAAAAAGAGCTCTCACAATATGGAGTTTATTAAAGAAAACAGTTCACAATTCAGGTTCATGAGTACCAAGGAGAAGACCTCAGTCTTGCCCTCAATTTGGCCTCTCTCTGGCCTTCAGCCAGAAGTCTAACTTCTTTTTAGGCAAGTCCTGCAAAACTCTTTTAGCTCTGTTGAAAAGTATCTAAAGACACTTCACCAGCCTCATTCCCAGAGGCACCCAGGTTTCTTACGTGATAGGCTGGGAAGCTCACCATGCTTTCTTGTTTACTGGGTCAATTGCCACTGTTTCTGTCCCACCACTAATCACTATTTGTTGCCATTTTTGGTGTTACAGCTCTCTTTCTGTGTCTCTTAGATCAAAGAAGTTATCAGTGCAAGGATTCCAGGTCCAAGGATGTTTCATAGTTTCATCTTTTTTTTTTCTCTCTTGGTGTTCATGAGATCCTTTTTCTGTCTCTAGAATGGTTCATTTTAAGCGTGGAGGGATGGTAACACTGGCTAATCCTTTTGTTAGGATTCCATTCACCTTATTTGCATAGTTACACTTCCATAAGAGTGACACGTACTTTATTTACATTATTAGCAAGATATCCAATCCCTTTGGTGGACCATAAGCACTGCATTTACCCAGTCTTACCCCATCATTTGGTGGAAATGACAAAGACTATGGTTAGAAGGGTCATAGTGAAAGGCACTGCATTTAAGATTTAAATCTCTGAAACAATTTGCCATAGTCTTGTCAGATTCCAACAGATATGTTTGTGAGGTTACACAAATGTTTGTGTGGTGACACGTATATTTTGGAAGTTACGACCATTTACACTACTTTTCACATGTTATGCTTATGTCAAAAGATAGACTTCTTTATGTTTGCAGATTAGAGTAGTACATTAAAGTTTTTATGTTATTTATTACTTATCTCTTATAAATGGCAGAAAATGATAGTTGTTTCCTAGAATTGCATCTTTCTCTCTTTAGTAAGAAGATTTCTAAATTTGGCTGAGTGAATGGCTGCTCAGCTAAGGACGGTGTTTCCCAGCCTTCCCGGTGGTGTGACTCAGTCATATGAACAAGTTCCAGGAAAAAGGAAATAAGCAGAAAAGAGATGGAACAGTTTCAAAATGTGTTCCTTAGAGAATAGCTGTGCTCTTGTCCACTCCCACTTCCCATTCCCCTTTCTTGCTGTTAAAATAAAAACTTTATTTTTTCTCTTGCATGAAAGGGCATGGGCCTACAAGCTAAGTTCTTGAAGCTATATTTCTGGGGTTTCTTAATAACACCAGAAATAATCAATCATATTAAACTTAGTATTACCATCCTGAAGTGCATACAAGCAAAGAAGATCAGTAAGTATTTAAACTTACACACTAACTAGTGATGTAAAAAAAAAAATAAAGAAGAAGAAGAAGAAGAAAATGAAGATATTTACTAACTTAGGCAGTTTAAAATTTACCAAACATGCAAGCAAGATACATTGATAATTAATTTTTATGTGAAGGTCAAAGGTGGAAACAAAGAAGAGCCAGTAGTAAGAAAATATATGACTTTGATTATAAGACTGAAGATAGAAGTCACATGACAGAACTTTCTAAGACATGATATCTATGCATTTCAAATAAAATTTTCAGGAACTAAACGTGTACTTTACTGGACGAAATGCACAATATCAATTTCACTACATCTATGAAAGAAGATAATGTAGAAACTCATTAATATCAGAGAGGACAAGGTCAGAGACTTGCTCGAACAGAACAAGTTGAAGCTGAAGAGAATGAAAACAAGTTTGCAAGAGCCAAAGTATGTCCCATCTAAATTTATAGAACATCTCAAGAATAGATAGACTTAATGCATTGACTTCCAATGGTTAAAGACTACACAAGTTGTGGGATGACAACAAGGGCAGAATAAACACAAAAAAGCAAAATAGCATTTAAAAACACAGGAAAGAAAAGAGCAAAATGGATATCAGGTAAAACTAAAATGTAGAGAAGCTAAAGTAAAT